TTCTTAGAGATACTCATCCCAGCAAACAAAATCCATCTCCACTAAGAAAACAAAGTATTGAGAGGTTAACCAACAAATCTGTAAGAGTTTCTTTTATGCCTTACAAGAGAATATTTAATTTTTATTCTTTGCCTCTCTGTATTAGTCTTGCCAAATTGTATTAAGTATGAATAATTCAAGAACTAAAAGTGTTACTTGAGGTAAAATAAACATAGTTCCTCCATATGTCCTCAATCAATCACAAAAACAAATATAAGGTTGATCATATAAATTGTTAAGTGAACAAATCAGTACAGAGGAAGCATGCTTTGGGCAGAGAAAAAAATTATAAATATTAATATTTGCTATTGCCTATTGAAAAGTCTCATGTTAGCATATGGCCCTTTATTTTTTTACATTTTAATTGAAAATATACTTAGAAAAGTTTTTTTTTTTTAATCTGGTTGTCATGACATCTTGTATTTCCATTTCAATCACTAATCCACTCTTATTCTTTGATGGTGTCTTAGTAGAATGCACATAAAAAAGTACAGAAGCCACATGGCAGAGTGTTTCTCCTCATTCCAAAACTTTATGACATATGAAAATGAAAGTCTCTAAATATTTGCATTTTATTAGACTAGATTCAGAGGAGTTGTCACATTAATATTCTTTCTAGCATCTTGTAAAATTTCTGGATATGACTTAATAGAATTGTGATCATAGGAAAAAAAATGTAGCCTGTTTGGTGTTTTTTTTTTTTTTTTTTTAGATTTATTTATTTGTGCATACAGAACTGGGGTTCAGGCCAGAGGTGCAGGGGTGGTGGAAGGCTTCACCAGAGACAGAGTGGGGAGCAGAACAGGCAGATGGACAAAGTACACTGCTGAGGGGAGCAGCGGGCGGGTCAGGAGCAGTCTGCTGTGCCATGTGGGTCACCTCCGCTGGCCCAAGATCGAATTTGCACTGAAGCGGCTGCTGCCAGCTGGCGGTGCTGTGTCCTTACCCATTGCGCCACTAGGGAGGGCCCCTTTTTGGTGTTTTTATTTGTAAGTGCAAATCAGTTTGCATAAAAAAACACTTTTAATGATGCAAACATTAATGATGCAAGACTAGTTTATCTAGTCTTCAACAGCCCGGCATAACTATAGACAGACAGACAGGAGATAGATAATCTTGAGTTATTTTTCCACCACCGTACATGAATATGGTTTTGAAAAAGAATGCTCCAACAAAATGATGATGCAAACACAGACCTTAAATTCTATCAACCTCACCACATCTGATGGGAATGAAGTAAAATACCCAGCTGCAGGCACTTGATGGTCTATTCTGCAAAGTCCGTAGACCCAAGCTTTGTGATTGAAGCTTCAGACCTGAACATTGGGTTTTCCTCTTTCTGCCTGGTGTTAGCTGAACTTCATTGGTTCCTCCAGTCTGTAAGTTAGTCAGTGAAGCACACATATCTTACTTATCTGGTGGAAAAAGAAATCAGTGACTTTTCAGTGCACTGATGAATTGTCATATTTTAACTTAAATCTTTATTTAGATGAACTCACTACACTCCTGGCTTGAGTGATTCTGAAACATGAAACCCTGTTCCACAGCCTGCAGGTAGATGGCATTTATAGCATTTCCCATATTGTACATGAGAGCTGATGGTTGTTTACCACAGTTTCCACGTCAGGAGTATCAAAGTCTTAGGAATTGTTCACCTCCTTGCATTTTTTCTGTGGTGCAGAGACTTCTAGTAATCTTTAGTGTAATGTCTGTGACTCTCATAGGGAGAGGGGAATGCTTAACCACGAGATTCACCTTTCTTACATAACCATCTATCACTCACTATTCTAAAGGTCTCTTCAAGCATGTTGTTTCCTGCCTGATACAGTATGCAGTACCACTTAGAGTTGAGATTACACCTTTTCAAGCAGAGTACACATTCAACATGATACTCAAGGACTTAGCTTATGACCCGAAGGAGCAAGTGTGTGTGGATCAGCATCTCCTGCTTGATGTAACACCACTCAAAGGAAAACCAGGACTGAAGAAATCACACTGAGAAAAGAGTAAATTTCATAAGAGTGTATAGTTTGGAATGGTATGTTTTATGCAGAATACAATTAAGATCAGTGTGTGACTTCATTAAATTGATTATCTGTTATAAATACCTATGTAAAGTAACCCAATAAATTTGATTTTAATATGAGCACAAATTACTCTTAAGAAATATTTCCCCTCTCTTAGCAATAGTTAAGCTGAAATTCAGGAAGGATCTATTATCTCTATGATACAACCAAAAATGCAGATGAGATAGGACTGATGGAATTAAGTCATTGTAAAAATTTATGGATTACTTTCCACTGCATTTTCCACTTATCAGGAGGAAATTACATGAAATCTTATTCAGGTAGGGGAGAAAAAAAGAAATAATTTCAACCTAATCATGTAAAAATTTGATGAGAGTATGTCATGAAGCAGTAAATTATTGAAGAAGTATTTTGTAAGGAGAAATTTCAACATTTATTGGTGCTTTTAAAATGAAAAATTAAGAAAATAATTACCTGCTTATTCACTAGATATTTTTTCCTGCTTTTTTATTAATATAATAGTTTATTCTTACATCATTATTTACATTTATTTTTCATCTCAATTGTAATCCCCGTGGGTTTCCCATCACTGAGTTCACTAGATATTTTTAGTCAAAGTTCTTGTTTTTCCTACTCACTACTATCCTGAACCCCTAGACAGCTTTTACTCTTCCTGAAAGAACTTTTCTAAACTGCCCTGCCTTTGCTTTCCTTCGTTTTCCCAGGTGCATTTCTCAAGGTTTGCTCACAAATCCCTGCATTCTCCTAACATTACTTACTTGTCACTGCTTTTTGCTGAATCAGCTAAGGTGGTGTTTGGAAGATGTTTAATTAAATTGCTATACATTTGACATGGAACAGGGGTACCTATAGGTTTTCTATACACTGGGACACTGATGAAAAATACACAATCTTACAGTAATAAACAAATAACTGAAAGGAGATCACAAAGTAATAAGCACTGTAATAAGACTGATATCCAAACTCAAGCTTCCATGCTGAGAAACAGATGACGTCATGATCCAGGTACTCAGAACTGCCAGAATTTCGAGTTCCCATTCATCAGCATACAGATGACTTCAGTTACCCACCTTCTTTCCCTTCCATAGCAATGACAACCATCAATTTGTAGAAAAGGCAACTTACAGAAAGGGAGAAAGCATTTGATACCTAAAGGGTTAATACACTAAATATGTCAGAAACTCCTATTGTTCAGTAGTATAAATGCAAATAAGCCATTAAAAAGTGGGCAAAGATCTTGAATGAATTATGTCCCAAGAAAGCATATACTTGGCCAGTAGGTATATGAAAAGTTATGCAACTTAACAAATCATCAGAAAAAATTCAAATCAAACCACATTCACTGCTAGGATGATGTGTATATGTCCATATATATGGAATTGACAGGACGTGAAGAAATTGGAATCTGTGTGTATTATATTGGGTATGGAAAACAATAAGAATTTCTTTAAAAAAGTTAAACTTGAGAATACCATTTTCTTAACCATTCCCACAGAGTTGAAATCAAGAGCTCAATGATATATCTGTACCATCATGTTTAATTTGGTATTAGCCACAATGTCAAGACATGGGAAAACTAGAAATGTCCATTAATTAATGAATGTATAAAGAGGATTTTTATGCATATACTATTATATGGCCTGAAAACAGAAACCCTGCCACCATATGCAATTAATTGGATGAATCTCAAGGATAATATGCAAGTCACTTAAAGGGTAGACATGGCTTTGTTTCACTTATATGAGGTATCAGGATTAGGCAAACTCATAGAAACAGACAGAATGGTGGTTATGAAGACTGGGGAAGAATAAATGGTGGGTTGCTCAGAAATAAAGTCTGTTAAACAAGGTGAATACCTTCTAGAGATATGATGGAAAACACCTATAGTTGATAGTACTGTATTTTGAACACACACCATTTCTTGGAGGGTAAAAGTTCTTACTACATCTTTCTTTTTCAAACTGTGGGACAAAGCTTATTTTTCTTTGGTTTGCTGTATAGTACAGTAACATATTTTATTTATCAAATAACATCTGCTTTTTTCAATCCCAAAGTGAGGTAAGCACAAGTCAGATATCATATAATCATCTAATTCTCACTGGCAGTTATATATAGGTCTTTTCCTACTCTCCATCCTTTGTCGAGATTAAAAAGCAATGACAATGCATTCATTTTGCAGGGCTCAAGTATCTCTGACCTTGAGACTGTCTCCTCACAATAACTGCATATGTAAATATTTAAAATATTAAATGGAACTCAACCATAATTCTAAATACTGTTCTGTTTTAACCTATCTCTGATTTGGCTCAAAGATTATTTTTAATGAAACACAGCATGAGTAAACAGCATGGAACATAATATCATGTATTTTATAACAAGTAGCAGTAACTAACTATAACAAAATATAATTATAAAAGCATCAAGTGTGTTTAGGTACTAAGTACACTTAGGGAGTAAATACTAAATACACTAAGGTACTAAATGAATGAATACTAAATACACTAAGGGAATGAAGATGGTAATTTAGATATTGGACTTTTTTTTTTTTTAATGTCATACTCGATTCCTGGGCTAAAATGACTGAATTAAGGCACATCCAGAAGGCAAAAACACCCAGTGGAAAAGTACTTCCCTTTTTAGTAACTTTTGTGCCTGCTTTAAGTTGACTATTTGTCTCAACAGCGAATACCCCAGTGAGAGTACTTCCTCATGCAGAATGCTCTTGCATAAACTCAATATCCTGCTTATCACCCTGAACCAATAAGTACTTTATTTTCTTTTTGCTTGTTCTTAGGGAAAGGGAAAAAAGGAAATGTAATCAACTCATACTTCTCACTGAACTGTCTGCATTTTAATGCCCAACTGAACGGTCATCAGAGTGCCCTTATGATATTTTGCACAAAAGACTCAGTGTTCCTGGCTCTACTCAGAGAACCCAAAATAGCCTTCAGTAAGCAGTGACATACTGAGGGTCGTGGTACTAAAAGCGCAAGCATCTGTATCTCAGAGCAGCGAGGCATGTACGGCTGCAGGAAAAGCCTGTGGAGCACAAAGGGACCATCTCGCCCCCTGCACCCTCGGTCTTGATGGTGAATTCTGAATTTCATTTTCTACAGAACTAGAACTTGAAGACACACAGGTAAGAATGTGATGCTC